TGGTCCAAAATGATCTTTCGATCGTTTTTCAATTTGACTTTCGATTGATCGTTGAACATCGAATGAATTCGTTTTTGATGATAAATGGATGAGCAATTGTCGTTCATTTCGATGGTGTTGACGAAGAAATGATCGAATCGTCGCTGTTTTACTTGATCCTGTTTCACCAACGAACAGAACAGGTTGATGAATCTTCACCATGGATTTCATTAGCCATTCGAAACGAATCGTTTCGATCGTTGGAACGAAAAGTTCAGGAAAAGGTTTTGTTCGATCGTGTTCATAGAGAGGTAACAATTGTTCCCATGATGTCCATTGATCAGTGTCAATGTCATAAAAATAATCGAAGATGAATGCATTCTGTTCAGGTAAATCTTTTGACGATAAACCTGAATGAGATCGAATCGATTGATCAAAAACAAGTCGATCGTTCTCAGTGAGAGACGAGCCCAAGGTCCACATCAAACATTGAATAAAACTTTTATGTATCATCACATTTTTCTCTATGGCATCGATCGAAGGGAGAAGTAAAGCATCGAGTAATTTCGTCAATTGAACGATCGAATTGACGGATGTTCGATCGATAAGATCGTGAATGTATCGATGATACAAATCTTCCAAATATTCTTTCTGATCGATGAGATCAACACAGCGTAAATTTAACCAACGTGTCCAAATGGGATGAGGACCTAAATGATGAGCATCAAAATAGATCATTCCACAGCGCGATACGGTCGATGGTGATGCATATTTCAAATCGGCCACTTCGAATAGAAGTGCTGCATGATCTTGTAAACGAATTCGTTCGCCATTGGACAATGTTAACAGTTTGTTCNCTTCGAATTCTTTATTTACAATATGAAAACCCGAAGCATCTTCAATAATTGAATGAGAATGTAGATGAATTTTTCCTTTTGTCATCAACTTGTTATTTCATACACAGTATACTGGAACAGATAATCGAATCAATGGTTTTTTTCTAAAGCAGATCAAGCGTTCTTTATTGAATTTTCTTAGTAGGATATGATCAAGCTGATACAAAATAGAATATACCAGTGTACAGCGCACAATGAAGATGTAAAACGAAATAGATTAACATGGCCGTAAAGTAAGCAATTATCTATAAGTTCAAAAACATTTCAGCTTGATACATCCATGATCATCGTGAAGAGCTTGAAGAGAAGAATATAGAAGACTTCTCATTGTAAGATAGATCGACTATACCTTCACGATGATTCACATAGATTCGGTATACGAGAAAAGACATAACAACGGTGACGTTTGTCAAAAACGTAGACAAGTTTTTAGATGATCGATTGAGGTTGCACGTACATAAAGCAAGACCCGTCGTTAATGTTACCATAAAACACAGTGGAACAGGTAATTCGACTATTTTTCATATAGACGTATAGTTTGTCGTTTATTGATACTCGACGAATACGGAATAAAACTTGTTGAGAATCAATTAAAATCACATTTGTGATAAATCCAACCGCTGGTTCACCAGCAAGGAAGAATAATACACAGCTATCGTTTGATTGACCACTTTTTTTATACGAGACGGTGGTAAAACGAACCGTCGATATGTAACAACTACGATACAACTTGATATTTTCTTGTCGAAGGGCTGTTTGAACTATTGCCAAATCATTCGCATTTTTATCTTCACACCGGAATTTCACTTGATCTTCACCTTTCGATAATGACGATGATACAACTCGCTTTTCTGATTGGATTTTATTGACAAAAAGTCCTAAAGTTGAATGGAATTTCGGATTTACTGCTGCGATACAGGCTGCATGAAGAAGATTCAAATTATTCCGAATTTCTTGAGCATATCGACGCGTCGAGTGGATCGTTGATGTGATTAAACCTAAAATTTTCATTATATAAAAAGAATTCTTCGATGAATAAAAAACATATCGACATGATCAGTTACCTAGAACATTTTCAAAGTTAAACGTTGAAAAATTGCCAAGAGATCCAAAATCACGGACACTCGATGAAACATGTTGAAGGCTGTGTACCACTTGAGTGTTTTGTCTGATTGTGTACAGGGTCGGAAATTCTCGAAGAAATTGATCAAACAGATATTCGATTTCTAAAATATGTTTTCGATCAATCGTTCGAGATTCTGATTGATGAACAGCCACCAACAACAGCAAAAAATGACGAGCGTATTTCATTGGAAGAGCAAGACATAGAGCCGGAAATCCAAACAAACAAACTGATCGTATCTCGCTTCCTTTAAACTGAGAATACTTCATGATTGATCGTGGAATTCTAATCGATGTCGATGGATACCGAATTGAAGATAAATATCGATCGATCAGATACATTTTTGACGACAATGACCATGGCTGTTTTCGATGCTTCTTATCAAACCATAAATTCAACAACCGTTTCTAAATGACATGAAAAATACGAAATCGCCAATTATACAGATTTTAATCATAATCTAATCTATTCATCGAGTTTTCTGACCATTCATTCAGACTGTCG